CATGACTGTTTTCCCTACCTTCTTTCCCAGAGGTTTTGTTGAGACATTTAAACACTTTTCTTTCAGTGTATATTCTATTTCAAGAATCTTTATTTAGCAATTTTTGTATTCAAAACAATCTCTCAAAATGATTATAGATCTACTAAGAGAGATTCATTGTTCGTTACTCTTCTTGATTCTCTACCTTGAGGTCACTGATTAAATATACTGATAAAACTAATTTTCTTGAGTGTCATGCTACATTAACAAATATTATATGCCTTTTTTCCCAATTAAAGATCTTTCAAATTTTTTTCCTGTTAAATCAGGAAAACATCAATATATAGTACAGTGGTAGAATCAAAAGAATTTTGAACTTAGACTTGGGTTCAAATTCAGAATACACCATCCTACAACCTATGCAAGTTTGGGTTTAATCATGCTAAATCACAGTTTCTTCCTGTATGAATGAATATAATAGTACACGCTACACAGATGTTATGAGAATTACATCATAAAGCATATGTAAAGTGCAAAACATTATAGGAAGCTTTCGGCGAATGTTAGTTCTCCCTTTTCACAAAACGAAAGGTCACTTTTTCCCTTACTTACTGGCCTCTTTTTTAAAGAAAAGAAACTACTATTTCTTCTACACAATAGTTTATTATAGAAAGAAAAAGAGAACCTTGAGCAAAGGATACAGTAAAGCTTAAAACAGTCAACAGTTGGCTAATTTCATTGAAAAAAGGGTATGATGATTTTAAGAGTTTTTCTTACAGACAAAGAAACAAATGGGTTCTTTCAGGTGGCAGGGCAAGGGGTACTGCTTTTGTCAAGGAAGAGCCCTAAGGAGTTAACAGAGCGCAGAGAGAAATACTGATAAACAAAGAGAGGGACACATAAAATAAACTCCAGAAAATAAAATTATAAACATGAAGAGCGAGCAAGTTTGAAATTTTATAGTTTTGCTGGATTGTTCCAAAGAATTAAATAATTAGATGTTTTAATTTGAATATGATTTTTAATGAAATTATGTGCCTTACAAAATTGTATCCATTTACTGTGTGTGTGTGTGTGTGTAGTCACACACACACACACGTATCACTCTACAGGGTTGTACAAAAACATGTACACTATGTTTCATAAACTAGTTAAGTGATTTTTAAGGGTATACTGAACTACAACTCCACTGTGTTTAAAATGATTATTATACATTACCAATTAAAATAGTATTACTTCTGCAAATATGGAATTAAGTACTTTTCTTTTTATTGAGTTTCCTTTTAAATAATTGCCTACCAAGAAGTTAATGTCATAAGTAAAACTGTCATACGCAGGAAATTTGTTTTTTAGATTCTATTATAACATTATTTTGACTTGATTTGATTTGAAGTTTAGGTGTTTTGCTTTCTGCACGATATATTTCTGATATAAATCTGACTCCCTATCCTATTCTGAAATAATCTAACTCAACAAATTACATTTTCATGACTCCACTATATTTTTGAGGAAAAAAAATTATGATCAATGTATCTCAGAGTTATCTTTCATCTTGTACATTCTCTTACCCTTAGGTAAATTTTCTTATTGAAGAAGAATAACTACCATTTGTAATTAAAAGTATCATAACTATATGTTAGGCCTACTGAAAATTCTATAATAGCTATTAATTTGATGATTCTGAAATACTGTCTCAAGATTCAATTCAATTTTAAGGTATGTTTCAATTCAGGAAAACCTCTCATTTGTAAATGTTGATATCTTCAGTCAAACCACCAAAAAGATTGGTGGTTTACTAAAGAGATGTGAAAAATATACAGACTACTTGATTCCTTTTTTCCCACTGACCCTAGAAAACTAACTTTTATGACACTACTTTCCACAGCCAAACAGTTTAAAAGTATAAATATGTCTAATAACCTGAGATCAACTCAGTGAGACATGCTTTTCCACTGCATCTTTAGTCTCATTATATACTAGAAGGCTATCTTTACCAGAAAGATCACTTTAATCTTGAATCAGGTGCAATAATGATACCACTAGCAATAACAAAATATACACTAATAAAATTTTCAGGTTGGAAATGTCTTCAAGCTAGCTTTACAAACTAGAACTTTAAGTAACGTATCATTGTATACGTTACAGTCCATCCAGTCTTATTCACCAGTCCTGGCTCTATTATCAGTTGCACTTGAGTCACTTTTTAAAAATATAAATACCCAGTGCCTAATCTAAGAGGATCAGATTATAGAGGTCTGATTTTTCTCCAGTCAACCTTCAAAGGGAATGCCAAGGTACAGCCATGTTTGAAAATCACCATTATATGCCTTCTACATCGATCATGTATAGTATAATGAGAACTGGGAAGGCAAGGTTATGTCCTCAAAGATTAATGATATTGGCTATATAAAATTTACTATGGCAGTAGGGTTGAAATAGTACATTTTAGAGCAATGAAAAATTAGTATTAGCATACATATTTTTATTGTTTAAACATCACAGAACACAATCAGCTAAATCCTCAGGTGCATTCCAGTTAAATATGCCATAAAAGTCCCAGTGTACTGTACAAAAGAGAAAAACTAGCAACACAACTTTTTTTCCCCCAAGAGGATCTATTTTCAGTTGGGTTCATATACAATGGTTATATTTTATTTCCACAAAAATATACTTCATAAGGAAAGCAATTATTTTGGAAGACATTTTCTGAAATAAGAAAAATAATTTTCCCAGGAAAATATTTCAGCATTTGATGCTACAAACCCAGGAGAGTAAATACAGATTGGGGGAGGGGGGGCTTTACTGGGAACTGCATAGAAATAATCAAATAAGGTAAAACAACACACCTTTATCCTGTATTGATTGTACTGCTTTATGTTTTTTTGTTTTTAGTTGTTAGCACAGGGAAAACAAAATCCTATGTTAAAATACAACACTGTTTAAACTATGTTATTCTTCCTCCAATTTGAACAACTTGTTTGAAAAACGAAACTGATATTTGCTTCTATCTTTCCACAGCATTAAGAAACCTTACAAAACATAAAGTGTCTGGTAATTTGTTGCGAAAATGAAGAGCATACAATGGACCCCACTAAACAGCACAGTGTAGTCAAGAGGAAAGACTACCACTTCAGGAGTTAAAAAAGCTTGATCTACCACCTGCAGGGCTTTGGGCAAATTCCTTTTACTCTTGTGCTTAATAACCTGAAAATGTGTTTATTAACACCTTGTTACAAGGTTATTAGAGAGGTTACAGATATTGTAAATAAAGCTCTTAGTAAAGTACCTAGCTCTTAGAAGACACTTAATAAAGAGTAGCAGTTAGAATAATGATAATCTGAGAGCTTGCTCTCTCTCTCTCTCTGAAAAACTAACAACTCTAATGTTTTTCACCTTGGTAAACTTTTTGGATGCATAAAACCTAAAATATGGTAATCTTGAACAATATGGAAGAAATAAAAATAAATTCCCAATATGTGAGCTACAAAATAGCTCAACATTAATTTCCTCGTTAAAATACAGAAATTGGGTGGAAGCTCCTTGAAGATCTTTTTCAAAAGTTCAAAATCTCACTTCATGGCTTTTTAACAATTACAACAAAATTCTACACTTTTCCTAGGATTTTTATTCCTAGAAGAAAAACAAAATGTTCATCCACCTCCAGAGAAATAAGCATACTGTCTCATCACCATAGCAAAATAATATGTTGACAGTGCCAACCTGGCAATGAAAGATCAGAATAAGCCAGCCTAGATTCACTACTCCATTTAACCGATTTTCTGGATCTCAGGCACTGATTTAAAAGCCTTCTGAAAGCCAAGATAATCCCATTTTCATCATGAATCATAACTTCAAATTATTATTTCAAAAGGTAAATATTTAATTATTTAGGATCTAAAAATCCTGAAGACAGTGGATTCTTTTCAATGATTACTCACAGACAGATAGTCATAGAATTTAAAAAGCATGCCTAACTTTATTACTAGGAATTTCCTTCCAAACAAGCTTACAATAGTTTAGAGATCAAAGTGCTTATTAATAGTCATAATTTTCTTTATATGCTGCCACTTGAAATAATTTTCCAAAGTAGACTATGTGCCTTTATGATGTTCAAAGGTGAAAGGATACTTCTTACATCTACTAAATGTGCTATTCTTTGGTCTCTTTTATTTTTATTTATCAAAATGTTTCTTAATAGCTTAAAATTGGTTTATTATTGTACTTTACACAATAAAAGGTCCTCTTAAGTACTGCGAAAGATTTAAAATATCAGCTATGTTTTATCTATAACATGATATATAGAGAAGAAATTTTTTCACTACAGTGGTCAACCAAGTAGCTAAATTTAGTATTCAAAAAATATATTCATTTACTATTCAGAAATTGATAGGACTAAGGATAGCATAATTAAAATTGAGTTGTAGAGATGTACTGTATTTTTAGGTTCCCTGGTAAAGATTCTTCTTTAGTTACTTCCATTCCTAGATATGTTCCGGGTTTCCATTTTGTCCCCAAATATTATTTATTTAGCTTTTCTATCTCTATATTCCTTTCTCTAATTCTATCAGTTTCCTCTATGAAGTAAGTCTATCTGATGAGTTTAATTTAAATGCATCTTTGCTCATCCCCACTAAATCTAAAGTGTCTGCATTCCTACTCTTTGTAATGTAAACTTGCTAGTGCTCCATTTATCCATTAGCAAAACTAATATGGTAATAGTCAAACAAAATAGACTGATAAAGTGCTCATGTAGGTATACAATACATAAAAGCCTTCATAAAGACATTCAAACCCAGATTTCTCAATTCCCCTGCCTCCACCACTGACTCACTTCAGTTCATCTCTTCTCCTGCCCTATACGACTACTATGCTGAAACTGGAGAGAATTCCGTTCATAATCTGTCACTGAATTTCTCTCTCTAAAATGACATATACACATGCTATCAAGTAATGTATTTGAGAATATCTACATGAAAAATTTCTGGTATTTCCTACTTTGCAGAGTCCTAACAGATACATACCTATGTCATATGCCAGGAAATCGGCAGAAAAACATTTTGCACCGTTACTCAAGGAAGTGTCATTATGGGTATTTCCTCCAAAAATAAGCATAGCTCCATTGATAAGAACAGCTGAATGAAGGTATCTGGCAAACCCACTTTCTTTCAAAATAGTCCTACAGGATAAAATTTAAAAATGTATTACAAAGGATAAAAAGATCTCCCTGATTTTATATATATTACAGAAAGGATCTAATTTGCATATAGATTTTTCCTTGGAATTGTGAAAAAACATGCTTTAGTGTTTTCAACAACTTATAAATGGCCTCTAAATTTCAATATTTTAAAAAATATTCTGAGATTCATAGTACCTTAAAATGCTTTCAGGAAACACAATATTAAACATAATTGTTAATGATTTTATAATAATATATACTTTGAAATTTTGTTTTCATTTATATAAGTAGGAAACAAGTCTCCTTTAAACTAGAGGACCAAATTATCATCAGTTTTAAATACCAAAGTAAATATAAAGTTAAATATAATAAATTTACTCTGAACAATACTCAGTTAAGACTACATGGCTCATACGGATCGCATAATATGCTTTCTAACTTTTTAAATATAACATACATGAAAGTGCACACATCATAAGTCTAACACTCAATGAATTTTCACAAGATGAACACAACTAAGTAACCAGTACTAAGATCAAAAAATAAAAATTACCACTATTCTGAGTCTAACAGCAAATATTTCTATTGCTGCCTTTGTACTTTACAAAATGGAACCACATAGTTTTTATTAATTTGTATGTATGTCCTGTTGCTTAAGATTATTTTTGAGATATACCCATATTGTGTATAATTGAAAATCACACTGCGTTTTTGAGAAACATTCAAATTAAATTAAATCTTCTTTTAATTAAAGCGTAATTATGAGAGAAATACTACAAATATATGCTCACAATTATATTTTACCTGAATTCACTGATATATATATAATAAAGGTTCATGACAATGTGAATCAATACTTTATAAATACTCTATAAATAAATCCCTGGTACAAAGAATCAACATGTAAACATAGTATGTATAGTATAGTTAGTAAGGTACATACAGTATCTCAAAAGCTATAGATTATAATACCAATTAATGCTTAAAGAATATGGAATTCATTTCCAGAATGTCAATATAAGGAGTTCCATAAACAGTCTCCCCAGGGAAAGAACTATAATTGGTAAAAATTAAAAAAAAAAAAATTTGGATCTCAAAAATGTTGCCAAGAGCAACAACAAATAAAGAAATATTTGCTCAAGAATATATACTAGGGCTTCCCTGGTGTCGCAGTGGTTGAGAGTCCGCCTGCCGATGCAGGGGACACGGGTTCGTGCCCCAGTCCGGGAGGATCCCACATGCCGCAGAGCGGCTGGGCCCGTGAGCCATGGCCGCTGAGCCTGCGCGTCCGGAGCCTGTGCTCCGCAACGGGAGAGGCCACAACAGTGAGAGGCCCGTGTACCGCAAAACAAAACAAAACAAACAAAAAAAGAATATCGACTAAATTCCATTAAGAACATCAACAGGGCTTCCCTGGTGCCGCAGTGGTTGAGAGTCCGCCTGCCGATGCAGGGAACACGGGTTCGTGCCCCGGTCGGGGAAGATCCCACGTGCCGTGGAGCGGCTGGGCCCGTGAGCCATGGCCGCTGAGCCTGCGCATCCGGAGCCTGTGCTCCGCAACGGGAGAGACCGCAACAGTGAGAGGCCCACATATCGCAAATTAATAAATAAATAACAGCAACAGTCCACGATATTTGACTCATTACCAACTCCCATTCTTCTCATCACCGCCACCTCCCCACACATACACAACCAGTTAGGCAAGGCTGTTCAACCACAGGCTGGTAAAGTCAAGAAGACTATGCTCCTTCATCCCTCAGCTCCTAGTCCAGACCATTAATATACAACCAGGAGCAACAGACTGCCAATATTTCTCAGGCCCCCGAACTCTTAGTGGCAGAAGTTCTATTCAAGGAGAAAGCATGCGAGGTCCGAGTCCTCATTCTCTACCTCGCCACCACCCACAGGGTGAAAGCTATACACCAGGCCTCAGAGATTAAGAACAAGAGGGCCAAAAAGTCTTCACTCCTAATTCATAGGGCAGCAGTTCCAAGATAAAAGAGGCAAGCTGAGAAGCGCAAAGGCTACCGTACCCATCCAGTTCTCTGCACGTAACACAGTGGTTCAATGAAAGAACAGGCTACAAACCCCACCTATATTTCCAAAGCAGTGGCATAGAGGTTTTCTCCCACAGGGAGAGACAGCCTAAGAAAAGGAGAGGCAGCCTAAGAAAAGGAGAGCCCCAAAGGTCTCAAGGGAACTTGACTTTATTTGGTACAAGGTGAAACTTCAAGCCTTAAGGGCACTCGAAAACAATGGAAGTAGTGGTTGTAAGCAATTAAGAGATAGCTACATGAGAAAAATAAGCTAAAACATAGACAAGCTAGAAGTTTATCAGAGAGAACCAGGGGAAAAGACAGCTAATAAGAGCCTTACTGGGGTCAGAACCTCAAAGACTGGCCTCAAAGACTACCCCTGAAAAAGGTTTGAAATGGAATTCAGACTGTGGGGCAATTTATGCCCCCAGAGCATTGTTGAAAATAATAGAACTGGGGCTTCCCTGGTGGCGCAGTGGTTGAGAGTCCGCCTGCCGATGCAGGGGACACGGGTTCGTGCCCTGGTCCGGGAAGATCCCACATGCCGTGGAGCGGCTGGGCCCATGAGCCATGGCCACTTAGCCTGCACGTCCGGAGCCTGTGCTCTGCAACGGGAGAGGTAAAAACAGTGAGAGGCCCACGTACGAAAAAAAAAAAAAAAAAAGAAAATAATAGAACTATCAGTTGGCAATTAGTGGAGGCTACCAGGTGAGTTTGATACAAACAGAGGCAGAAAGCTTAACAAAGAGCTCAGAGGAAAAAGTCAAACAGCTCTGCTAAAATTACTATCATCCCAGGGTGACTGTGTACATACCCAGGCTGTACCATCTGAGGAGGAACATCAGAGGACGCATTTGGAAGAAGAAACAGACTTCTCGAAAAGAGTTCAGCCAAGTTACTAAACAAATAAAATTACAACAGCCCCAGAGAGGAAGGAAAAGTCAGGATCCAGAGTTGCTACAATATATTATCTAAAATGTCTGGTTTTCAGGGAAAATTATGGCATGCAATGAAATGGGAAAGTGTGACCCATACACAGGAATAAAAGCAAGCAACAAAACTACCTTTAAGAGAACCCAGATGTCAGATGAAACAAAAAAGACTTTAAAGCAGCTATTATAAATATAGTCAAAGACTTAAAGAATACAATGTTTAAAGAAGTAAAGGAAAATACGACAACACCTTATCAAATATAAAACATTAGCAAAGAGAAATAACAAAAAAGGGAAAATTTGGAGTTGAAAAGTGTAATATTGAAATTTTAAAATTTAGTAGAGAAGCTCAACAGTATATTTCAGCAAGCAGCAAGAAAAGAAATCAGTGAACGAGCAGATAAATCAATAGAGATCCTGCAATTCAGAAAACAGAGAGGAAAATGAACAGAGTCTATGAGAAATGTAGAACACCATTAACAGCAGCAACATACATTTACTGGGAATACTAGGGCAGAGGAGGAAGAGGTAGAAGACTTTTCAAGAAATAATGGCTGACAACTTCCTAAATTTGATGAAAAACATTAGCATACACATCCAAGAAGATCAACAAACTTCAAGTAGGAAAAAATACAGAAAGAGCCACACTCAGAAATAAAATAGTAAAAATACTGAAGGCCAAGGGTAAAATCTTTAAAGCAGCAGGAGAAAGAAGTTTCTTCCCACACAAGAGAACCCCAATAAGATAAATAGCTGACTTCTCATTAGAAACAATAAAGGCCAGAAGGCAACGGGATGGCATATGAAAAGTGTTAAATTTTTTAATGTCAGAATACGAGGATACAGGGAGAGACAACAGCAAGACGTAGGAATAAGTTTCCTACTATGAATAAAAAATATTGCCTGCCGTATGGTAAACAAATGAAGTTGCAGCCATTGAGCCATCACACTGCAACCATGACAGTGAGCCCTGAGAGAACTCAGAATGGAAACAGAATGCGCTCCACTGCAGCCACCCAGGACAGTGCACCCTGAGGAGACTCAGGATGAGAAGCACAGGATACTGGCCCCAGATAGCTGAGGTGCATATCAAAGGAATGATCTCAATGAGCCTAGACTTTGCATCTTTCCAAACACAGAAAAGCACTAAATTCCTTAACTTGAGATATCTGGTTTTCTTTTTTTGCAGTATGTGGGCCTCTCCCGTTGCGGAGGCTCCGGACGTGCAGGCTCAACAGCCATGGCTCACAGGCCCAGCCGCTCTGTGACATGTGGGATCTTCCCGGACCAGGGCACAAACCCATGTCCCCTGCATCAGCAGGCGGACTCTCAACTACTGCGCCACCAGTGAAGCCCTGGTTTTCTTTAATTAACAGCAATCTTTTGATGTTCTGACTACCTGGTCTTTGTTGCAAAAACTGCTATATACCTGGCTCCTGCTTGCCTCTTTGGAGCAGTCTCTCAGAGTTATCCGAGATGCTATGTCACAGGCTTAAGTCCTCAGACTTGTCCACCAAATAAAACATAACTCTCAACTTTTAGGTTGTGCATTTTTTTTTCAGTCGACACTGCCTTCATCCTCCCACAGAAGCACTGATTTTGTCAACTACTCAGAGACAGGAGTACCTTTGTAGGTGCCCAGCAGAGAAGTCCTAGCACCACTTGGAGCAAAAATTCCAAGAACAGGACTGAAGAGGGTAAGAACAGTTTCACTTTACCACATCACCCCCACCCCCAAGGCAACAGCTCACTGCCAAGAGAAACTCATTCAATCTGCTTTTTCTCCCAGGGGGGAAAGTGAGAACCTAGTAAGTGCCTAGCTTCCATGGCCAAGCAGGATGATGCCCAAGAAGCCCACTTCTTTCTCACCCATTCCAAAACAATGACAGGATGGGCAGGGGAGGGAAAAGGGGGCTCACGGCAACCAGGGTAAAAAACCCAACAGGGCTAATGTTTCTACTAACTACCTCATGAACTCTACCGAGAGGCCCACCCATAAACTTCATAGAGTGTATTACCTGTAGATTCACCT